TGGGGCCAGTGTGGCTGTGGACAACAGCCTGCTCCTGAGCTGCCCTGCCTTCCCCACCAGCTTCTATGATGTCCGGCCCCAGCAAACCAAACGGAAGAAACCGCCAGCAAAGAAACTTATTTTGGAGCAGGAGGTGGAAAAGAAGGTGCTGCTGAGTGGGGGAAAGAGCTTTGAGGCAGAGCAGGTTGGGGTGAAGGAGCTGGCTGCACTGGAGGGACAGCTGCCACCCGTGAAAGAGCAGCACTTGGAGCCTTCTCTCAACCCAGCTGGAGACACCCAGCCCAACTCCCTCCTGGAGAAGCTGATGAAGGAGGAGAAAGACTGGATGCATGAAGCACAGGGGACTGAGAAGCCATCAGGAGATGATCCTCAGCTACAGGAGCAAGACTCTTCCTCTGGAGGGAGGAAGAGCCCCAGTTCTTGTAGTACCTTGGACCAAAGCGAAGGGGAAGATGCAAGCAGAGGGAGCTCCCAGCTTAGCGGTGAGTGTCTGAGGGAGAGCAGAGGGCCCTGTTGAGCTGCAGCCAGTGCCAAATGCTGTCCCTCCCTCAGCTGGAGCCACCTGAGCCTTCTTCAGGAGCTGTGGCAGCTCTGTTGTGCAAAGCGAGCAGTACAGACCTGAAACATGTCTGAAGTGGGATGTGGGGCCTCCTTTCTTATCTGGTCTTTATTTTTTTTCTCTCTCTTTTCTTTTTTTCTCAACCCTCATCTTCTGCAACTTCAGCAGTCGAATTTGTGGCAGCTCCCAACACCAAATCAGAAGGTGAGTTGGGGGGACAACTATCCTGTTTAACACTAGTGGAGCTGGCTCGTCTGGCCACAGCTGGTAAGGTGGTTTCTGACCGTTGTCTCTCTCCCTGACCAGATGACGATGCCTGGGATCTGATCACTTGCTTCTGCCTCAAGCCCTTCGCGGGGAGGCCCATGATCGAATGTAACGAATGCGCTACCTGGATCCACCTCTCTTGTGCCAAGATCCGCAAATCCAACGTGCCTGAGGTTTTCATCTGCCAGCGGTGCCGCGATGCCAAGCAGGAGATTCGCCGCTCGAACCGAGCTCGGACGGTGCCCCGCAAGCGCTTCTGTGACTGAAGCTCCTCCAGAACAGGGAGGCGGGGGGTCCACTTTTCAAACTGCAGACTGTAGCCCGGTTCGGCTAGACAATCAGTGCACGGTAACGGCAGGGGAGGGGC